TTCTCGATTTTTCATTTATTTTCTTTTTGCGCAACAACCAGGAGAAAGGCCATTGGCAGAGGGTTTTTTTTTGCCGTTGCGAGGGAATGGTAGAAGTAATCTCGGGACATTTTACCAAGCTTCGTCCCAGCCCCCGCACAGCCACAAGTGAAAGTGTTGGTGCGCTTTGTAAACGGGGAGGAATGAATGTAACGGAATGACAAGGGCGAAATGCTGGAAAGATGAGTGACTTTCCCTCCTCTTGCTCATCATTGCCAGTAGATTTGTCTGCCGCCGCCAGAAAAAAATATGTCCTCATTCACGAGTCTTTTTTATTTACTTTCGTATTTCCTCGCCCTCGCCCGCTTTCCCCTTGCTCTCTCCCTCTCTCTCTTACTCTCTCTCTCTCTCCGCTATCCGCTGTTGCTCATACACAGTTCCGGCAGACTTCTTCAGGCGTCCTCGCCTACATGAGTGGTTAGCTCATATTTGCCGTGACGTTTCCGTTGGCTGGCGGTGGGAGGTACGGTGGTAGCGGGCGTGCGGTGGGGCGGGGCGTGGGACGTTGGCGGCGTCAACAGGTCCGTACACAACATATCTTTATATCTGGTAACAGCGCCCTCGCACCCACACCCAAAACCACCCGCACCGCGCACGCTCTCTCGGCAGGGGTGTTCCTGAAAAGGTCTGTCTCGCAATGTCATATAATTTTTGGATTTTAATTGAAAAGTGTTGCAGCCACCGCAACGCAACCCACTGTGGACCTGTGGAAACACCGGAGGCAGGTTTACAGAGGACCCCGCCCCCATCTCTTTCCCTCAACTCAGCGCCCTCCTCTCTCTCTCTCTTTTCTCCTATTTTTTTTTCGCGGACAGACGCTTGAAGTGGCCGCCATGCCCATAGGAGGAGGAGGAGGAGGGCCCCGCTGCTGCACAAAGGTTATTGATTGTGATTGTGCGACATTGTGGTCCCCGCTGTGGGGCGCACCGTACAGTGCGGGGCGGGGTGAGGTCCGGTGCGTTGCTCACTCAGCGTGCCGTGCACCATCATGTATGTGCTGCTGCACTCCAATAATTACTGTTACTAGTACGAGTGTTCTGCCCTGGAAACCCAAGTGACAACACTATGCGTTATTTGCTGAATAACTACATGTATGCAGCAAATAGTGTGTACATGGGCAGGCATAGACGTAGATGATAAAAGATATATGCCGAAGTGTGTACGTGGCCATATGCACAGGCGTGGTTTTTATGGGGGGACTAAGGGATGATCCCCCCCCCCCCCCTTCCGGTCGGCCCAAATTACCCTCTCGGGTAGGTAGGCAATTTGTCCTACAAAACCCATGAAATTGAGCAACCCACAGTAAATAGTAAATGGCTACCTCTGTCGGATGGACTCGGCCTGGGCATGTACACACAATTTGCTGCATACATAGGTAGCAAATACGCATACACTCTTCGATTTCCAGAATGTAATTTTGCAGACAATAATATAGTAATTTTACCGGACTTTTACTGGGCAACTATAGTATAGACTTTTCCAAGGAAATCCTGTAAAATCTGTAGAAAAATGCGTTGACAGTGGTTTAACAATTTGTAACTCGTGTGCACTATGCGCATCGCCCAGGGCAGGAGGCATGCAGGCAGCCTGACATTCTGCGTATTCAGCTGTCAGAATTATGAATGCATGCATTTTCCAAAAGTGTGCCTGGTACGCGTTAGCTTGCCTGTCACTTGGAAGATATCCAGTGACGGCCTGCGTCCGTGCATGGTGCACAATGCATCCATCATGCATCTATCTCGCTTCACAAGTCGCGCGCGAACTTTAAGTCTCGCATGAAGCATCGAAACACGCGCGGTCACATCGGCACAATGCACCTTGCACGGGCGTGCATCGTGCTAGCTGGATATCTTCTATTAGCCTCGTGCGCTCACCGACTACCCACGACACCTCTCTCCTCGGCAAAACCCGGCCCTCCAGCCCGCTCCTGCCTCCTCCAGCCTAATAGAAACATGGCGTGTCCGACCAGCTGACTCTGCAGCGCCACACGCCGCCCGTGACAGGCGCCGGCGCCAGCGCCAGCGCCGTGGCGGGGCCGGCGGCATCCTCGGGGCGACAGGTTGCCCCGCCCGAGGAGGAAAATAATAAATAAATATGACAGGAGAGCCGAGTCCGAAAGACGGAGCGGCAGCGAGACCAGCGAGGCTCGAGACTTGCTTCTGCCACGGCTTCCTCAAGGCTGCCTCATCAAGTTCCTTCCTCAAGTTCTGCCCCAAAGCTGCCTCATGTCCTACCTCATGTTCTACTCCATGTTCCGCACCTCAAGTTTTGCCTAATGGCTGGCCTCAAGGCTCAACTATTTGCACCCATAGCTGAAACGCGCTAAAAAGACACTTTTTTGACCTTGGCAAAAAATATATAGATAGATTGAACAACTCTTATACAGGGTGGTCGCTCTGCCCCGTAGTTTTGAAAAGGTAGACTAGCCCGCTCACAGACGGAGCGGGGAGGTGGGAGGGGACGGGAGAGGCAAGTGCGGGCGGGCTAGTCTACCTTTTTAAAACTACGGGGCAGAACGGCCACCCTGTATCGTGTCGTTCATTTGATGAAAATTCGCCTCTCCTTGACTAAAACAAAGTTGTTGCCAAAACCTACATGTTCCTGTGTATAGTTCTGGCTCACTACTGGCTTCTTTTTGAATCCTCAACCAACACGCGAGATTTGTTTCTCTAGGAATAGCTGATCGCAGGCTCTTCCGGATTGCCCCGCTGGTCCCACCCCTTCCCAAGGTTTCGCCTCGAGGTCGTGGTCCCACCACCGCATGGTTCTGTGGTGCGCTGCTGCCTCAAAAGCCCCGCCCTCTTAAGGGCCCTCTCTCTGCCCGTGCCGCGGTGCCCGGTGGGACGGTGTACCGATAGTACTGAATGCGACTGAATGTCATTTCGCTGACGGTGGCCGGGGCCGCCGCTGCGCGCGCAGCTGCCTTTCTGCTCGGCTGTACATCAAGGCACACTGCGCGGCTCACTTGTGTCCCCGGGGCCCGCCCCGCCCCGCCCCGCGCCGCTCAAAGGTGCCGCCAATCCCTCGCGCACGCCGCCCCGGTCCCGCTGTTGTTGTCTTGGGAGGGAAAGGTGATGCCTTTTCAACGCGCCCTGCTTTTGAAGTTCCCTCGCCGAGCGCGGCCCCTGCCGGCCGCCGGCCGGCCCAGGACGGCCCAAGGAATGTCCGAGCTATTTGTTCTCCGAGGCGCACGGCGGCCGCGGCCGTGCTTTTGTTTGCTGTCGCCGGCGCGCGTCCCCTCCCCTTGTTACATGTGTTGGCGTTGGCTCTGCCCTCCGAGGACTTCTCCAGGGTGAGTAACTGGAACTGGGTCTACTACTTCCAGGAGAAACGTAACCAGCTGGAGAACTCGATCGGGGAGACGGTGGTACGGCGAAGTGCTCGAGAGAAACCTACTTGCTCCGCAACAAGACTCGCCGGGTGGTGATAAAGTAAGCGTGCGGAAACGGGAAGGGAGAAACCCGGTGTTTTTTTTTGTTTTGTTTTTTATTTTCTTGGCTCATTTTCGTAGTTAGGGTAAAAGGAGTCTCTGATGCAAAGCCGACAAGTGGAATGAATTAAATCCATTAAAAATGAAAACGATCGGAGAGGAGAGAAAGAAAAGAGAATGGGAAGGCGGTGGGATAGAATGAGATGGTGAACGAGGAATAAGAAGGCAACGAAAAGAGACGGGGAGGGGGGAAAAAGAGGAAAAATGAGGTGGCAGATGATGAGCAAAGTGCGCGCAGATTATAATGAGGATCTATGAGCGCTGCGCAGCCCAGGGCAACGCGGCGGACTGACACACCGTTTTTACGACCGCGGGCGACATTGCGCATGTGCGGACGAGAGGGGAGGGGGGAGAGGGGGGATATTAGGGGGGATT